AGTCTTTACATCAACAGGGCACCGGTGCTATAGAAAGACAGATAGGCAGATAAAGCATTCTAACAAATAGCAGCAGGTTTATACTCTGCTCTGTAGATGCAGATAAACCAGCAGACAGATTGTTGTACTGGACACTAAAGTAGAGTTCAGTGGAGAGGAGAATAGGGAGTTACAGGTATTCAGCCAGGCTCCTGGATGAGTCAGCGACTGCTTGAAATAGATACTGCGGGCATGGCCTTGATCACACTTTTTACCAAATGAATCATTTATCAAATGCAAACACTGCTGCAAAAGTACCGCTTATTTTTCATCTCCTGGTTAAATTGATAAGACAGCCTATGGAAAAATGCGCCATGTGTATATAAACACTGTGTGTGTCAACAGCGTTTGGAGGAACATTGGCAAGAGCCGAGCAGCATTGTTCCCTGGAGCTTTGTGTTTGTGTGTATTTGTGTATATCAAGAGGTTGAGAGCGTACATTTTGGCCTGGTTATGTTTGCAGAAGGGCAATCAGGCCTAGTGCCCAAAACCAGTCAGTGGAGCCAACCAGATCTGGGCAAATATGCAATTCGTGTATCCGTGTGCACGCACACACACACACACATACAGTAGTAACACAGAGAGACATACACACCCAAAGAGTCAAACACATAATGCATATGATGGAAACAAACAAACATGAATCCAGGTTTTCTCTCTCTGTGTCTCTTTGTATTTTCCTTTCACACACACATAGTCACCCAAACACAGACACCCTCTCTCACACACTCACAAACACTCACTTGGCCACACACACAAAGGAAGAAAAAAAAAATCACCATTTCTCCTGGTTAAGAAACAGGTTGCCTATTCATCTCTCAGTTCATTTCAGAGGGAAATGGCCATGTGCATGAAAGAAGCCGGAATAAAAGCCGATCTCGGGGAGCCTGATTCAGGATTAATCTGCCGGCACTCAGCAGTCTTCAGAGGCTGTAATGCTTTGACTCCTATAGACTGCAGGAGGGCTGAAGAGAGGCACTTTAAATGCTAATAGACCTTTATAATAATAGATCACAATACAATGAAGAATCAGACTTAGCATCGTAGATCAATCACACCAAAAACCCACATGTGTCCTCACCATCCTGAGCCCCACTTTAGCAGCCAGTGACTTAACACACCCAACAAGATGATCCCACATCTAACAGGCATGTGTGTGTCACATACAAACATGCATGAAGAATAGACTGTAGGGGGGAAAAAAAAGGAAAAGGAGGGAATATAAACAGTGAAGATGAGGGGGTATATATGATGAAAGAGCCAGTTCTTCACTCAAGGAGTGTAATCCTCTTGCAGGCTGAGTTGATACTCTCAGTTGTTTCCAGACCAAAATGCTGCTTGAGCCGCCGGCCTGCCAATGCAGCAGACGCCCGGAGGGAATCACTGATCTGACTCTGTTGTTCATATGAAGGGTGTTTGCCGTGGTGGCAGAACATCTCTCCTCCCTCTTTTCCTCTCTCACCCTCTTCCTCCCCCATCCCTCGCCTCCCTTTCTCCTAAAATGGGACACTGGGAGGTGAGTATAATCAGGATTACTCTGCACAAACCAGGCATACACACACAGATATATGCACACATGCACACATCCATAAAGAAAGAAATCCATATGCAAGCATTCACACACACACACACACGTACACACACACACGATTGCGAAGGTCGCGCACGCACAAACACACGCATACAGCGCTGCAGTGATGAGAATCTCTCGCCCACCAGAGGTTTTCAAACATGCAGAACTGCAGATATTCATGTCTCCTGAAGGCAGAACAACACAACTGCAGTGTCCATAGAAAAGAGCAGTTTGGATATAAAGGGGATGGGGTGGAGCAGCACAAGAGCCTGTAAAAATTCAACGGGAGAAGTAAAAAGACAGACCGGATAGACAGCGAGGGTCAGGCAGAATGGATGGCTGAGAAAATGAAAGAATGAATAAAACAAAAGAGGAGAAATTAGAAACGGATATCGCTGTGGGCCAAAAGAAAAGGCTGCTAGAGTCAAAGGCAGAAAGGCTCAGTGACGGAAAGAGAAAAGGAGGACGAAGAGGAGGTACTGGGATGGGTGATGATGATGGTGAAGTCACAAAGAGAAAGATCTCCCGACCATAAACTACCACATGTGCATCCATTAGGCGGCCTATAGAGGAGCAGCAAATATCCTGTGGCCAACCACAAGCCCCTCACGCTGTACGACGCCACTATTAGTCTCGGTCAACCATTATAAAAAATGACGAGAAGAAGCACATCAGGGGATGAAAAGACTTTTCAGAGGATGTGGAAGGGTTTTGACCAGTAATGGAAAGCCTCCTTTCTACTTCAGCGGTTGATGAAGCTTCTTTCCAATGAACCCTTTTTTTTTTTTTTTTTTTTTGAAAAGACCAACCCAAGCACAATTTCTGCAGACTTTTGTGTACTTAGAAGTATTTGTGGATGACATCATGTATTTTGAAGTATATCACTCAGCCTATAGTAGATTGTGTAGGACAATAAGAGCATGCTCAGGGGCTTTTTTTTTTGTGCAGAAGAATTTTTGCCAGAACCCAAGGAGGTTGTACCCAGCACCAAAATCACCAACTTTTATATGAAATACAAGATGAGAATTTAAAAAAAAAACTATTTTCTGCATCAATTTTGTTGATTGAGGTTTACTTTGCTCAAGCTCAATAGACATTTTTGTTTCTTAAATAGTCAGAAATGACAATAAAATGCAAATATTTCAGTCAGAGAAGGCAACACAGACGAATTGTCTTTACTAAGAGAAACCGTCATACCGTCTAATATTCAGAGACATTAAGGTATGTTTTACAGGAATACACTCGCAAAGTCAGACGTACCTTAATGTCCTTTTATTTTTCTGCATATTTGTCATATGTGGTGCTTGTGGAGCACTTCCAAAGCTTAGATCAAATTTATTCATCAGTACAAAACACGAGCAAGCAATCATGTTAAAAATATCCGGCTCTTTGCTAAAAAAATAAATAAATAAAAATAAAGTCAAAGGCACATGTCTTTTTACATTAAAACAACTTGAGTAGAGAAGTCAATTCTGACATCCAGGGAGCTTCTTGGAAATAAACACTTTACTTCAGAGACTAAAATTGTGTCTGAGTCACCATCAGAGGGTTAATAACAGACCAAAACTAAAGTTAACACTTTGTAGGAAGCCACTAATATCAGGGTGCAAAGTACAGGGGAAACATGAAATTTTGGTTGTTCTATAAAATACTGACAATGTCTTATTTTTGACATAGATTTCTATCTTTTTGTTTTTTTCTCTATCATAGAGCACATGTAAAATTAGGTTATTATTGATGTATGATTCATGCACGAGGCTGACTCATCACTAATTCACTTTAATAAAGATACCAGCACGCATTCTCTGCCTGCCATTACCATTAAAATGTGACGCTGCAAAGGCACTAGTACCTGCTTTTCTTCTGTTTTCTTCCTCTTTCATATTCTTATGACTAGCAATGGTGATAAATAAAAGCTAAATTTAAGTGCTTTATTATTGTTGTATCTGTCATTTCTGACCACAAGAAAAGAGAAGAAAGTCATCTCCCCAGAAAGCCACGGAATATAGTTTGCACACTGACAAACACAATCAGCACTTTAAATCAGTTTCCCTTCTGGATTTTGTATCAATTCTGGATTAGAAATATTTACTGACAACTGCACGTTGTTTTCTGTTCCCAAACACAATAATGGAGCCTTTTAAATGTGTTACAGCTCGGATCCAAACCTCTGCCAAGCTTCTTCGCCAAAGCAATGGCTGTTGAGGCTTATTAGTACTGAAATATTTAGAACCACTTGTCATACCTGGTTGGCAGAAGAAAAAAAAAAAAAACATGAGCTGAAAGATTTAAAACTTAAATCCATAGTATAATGAAATTATCAAAGCGTCTCCTGTGTCTCCACGGTAGCAAGTTAAGCTTTCTCATGGGCAAAATGCATAAACGGCTCTATCATGATATACAATTATTTTTGCTATAAAAAAAAGTCTTTTAAAAATATTTTTTTGGATAAAATAACTACATAATTTTAGTTTTCAGGCAAATCCAGTAAATTACCTACATTTTTATTTTATAGGTTTCGGAATTCATATGAAATTTCTGCCCCATCATTGAACAGTCTGCTCATTAATTTGCAGCATTTCTCACAATGACGCTCAGATATTAAAGGAACAGTTGTAAAATATGTCAAATTCTGATGGCTGATGTGTAGATCCTATCGCTCACCCTACACACTGTCTGCATGCAACACATTTGTGCGTTATGATTTATGGAAAACTTGAACTAACATGGCGACTAACAGATCTGGATCTGGCTGGTTCGCTGCTTTAAACATTGTTTCCTTCATTGCTGTTCTGTATTCTGTTCTCAACCAATGATTTTTCTCACAGAGGGGATGGGGACATCATAGCACACTGATCTCAGTGAGAGTGAAGTTTGCACAAACAGGAGCAGAGACACACAGGACCACACACAGTGGGAGGCTCGCCCTCAAGGTGTAGTTTATGTGGTAATGTGCTTTGGATTGGGGCTGTGTGTGGAGAGATGATGGGTCGGGTAACAGATGGACAGGAGTCTATTCCCTGGGCTACCAGCCTTCTGCTTACCACACAGCCCTGCCAACTCCACAATCCTCATCCATCTCCTGCACTCCAACAGCCCCCCCATCCCCCTCCACAACTCCTCTGACATCCCATTTCATCTCTATTGTTTCACACCACCCAGTTGTGTTATTCAACTTACTCCCACCTACTCACGCTCCATCATACTCCCTCTCACCTCTGCTCGACCTCTTCCTCCCTCATTCCTTTTCCTCCTCAATTACTCCTGGTAAAAAAGAGGCTTGTCTGCCAAACCAAGGCCTAATCCCTTGATTTTTGCTCATGTAGTAACAGCCTGAGCAGCCATCCCTCTATTTCTTCGTCCGTTCCTGCTGTGCTGGGTGGATGCCCAGTGCTCAGATCCCATGCTAGCAGCCACATGCTGCAACTTTAGTGCATAACATGTTGGAGCATCACATTGGATAACTTTTACTCCATGGAGACAGCGTACATTAGATTAACACCTTCACCCTGGCCAGGAAGCCCAGTGATTACAGCAAGCCGGGTTGCTAAAATACCCCTTAGGTAGCACGCTAGCTGGCCCTCTCTGTGGCCAGATCACGCTCGGTCGCACTCAAAGGGACTATAAAAAGAACAGTTCACTGCAGCCTGCTGTGCCGGCAGGGTGTGGCACTGCTCTATTGTCACATCTACAACTGACAGCCCAGCGAAGCGAGGATGATGGTGGAAGCCAGGTGTGCACACGTGAAAAGTAAGCATCTCTCAAGTGGAAAAGGACTGTGTGTGTGTGTGTGTGTGTGTGTGTGTGTTTCTGCGTCTTACCTCTGATAATGGCCAGCTTTGCAGTGACAGACACCTCTCCTTCACTGTTGCGTGCAACACACTCGTAGATGTTCTCATCTCGGGGTGCTCTGAGCGGTTGGATCCTCAGCACAGCACCTGCACCCTCATCAAACTCGACAGTCTGGACAGCCACAGAACCGGAGGAAAAAAAAAACAAATTAGTCACAGCAGAGTAAGCAGATAAACCCTGCTATTAGAACAGTAAACTATAATGCTGCATGTCAGCACCTTAGCACAGTTTTTATTTACAGTATTGAAACGACAGTAATTACGCTAAAATTCTCCAAAGACCTCTATTTCATTTGCTCTCTTCTACAGAAATGTTAGCAGTCGGGCACAGATACAGAACGTGTACCTGCAGATACGTTGCTGAAGCTGGAGTCAGTGTCCTGCACAAAGACACTTCAGCTGGGGAGATACTTACCAACATGGGGGGTTGAACCTGTGTCCTCTGGTTGAAATGCAGTATATCTAAGCATTAGGTCACATTACTGCATCAATATACAAACAGGCTTCTATTGAACTATAGCAATTAACATCTCTCTGGACTGGCCTGCTTTAAAGCATTTAGCATTTAGAAAGCAATATGTGCATTCAATACAAAGCACAGTCTACCATCTATTAATTATTTCATATTTTCATGTGTCTGTTTTGAGAAATGCTCAGAATTGTAAATGTAACCTTGTAACTTATGCTTGAAATGTGAAATACTTGCCAAAAGTTAGCTGAGAAGATTGATACCACTCTCATACCTTTGCTTTGACTGGGTTGCCAGAGCCACGGAGTCAGTTAGCTTAGCATAAAGATTAGCAGCGAGAAAGAAAAAAACAAAACAGCTAGCTTGTCTGTAAAACCCCCCAAAACCAAAATATCAACTATTAACTCATTAAGTGACAAGTTATATCTTGGTAATTTATTTGGGGGATTTTCAGAGATGCTGGCCAACAGATTTTATTTTTGTTCAACTCTGGATAGAGGCTAGCTTCAGCTGCTAGCAGTCTTTAGGCTAGCTTTAGACTG